GTGGGATTGCCCGTCACATTATAACGCCCCACGGCTGAAAGGGCGAGCATGTTTGGTGGGACGGGGATTCGAACCCGCGACCCACAGATTGCGAGTTAAGCTCACTAAACACATGGCCATGCCCGGCCTGAAGTTAAGAGAAACTCAGAAAACTATAATAAATTTTTGTCATATTTTTTGTTTCTCAGTTCAGACATGGTCTTTTAAATCCCAATTATTCGCTAAATAAACTTCGAAATATCACACTGGAATACAGCATCTCATAAAAATCTATTGCATATATTAAATATTTTTTATCGATATATAATTAGTGGCATTCAACTTTTTTATTTAACCTTTTCCAATATCATTCACCCCATAAGTTTTTCACATCAGCTCACTCACTCCAGTTCGGAAAAAAGACAAAAAAGCACTAAATTAAGATGCAAAATTCTTTATTATGACTTAAATATACATCAAACTACAACTAGAATGAACATAAAAAAAATGTAGTTATGAAACTATAACTAAAATAAATAATAATAATAACTAATGACTTTTTTGCTTTTGAGTTTGTTGTATTATTGGTAATACCCATTCACCCAATCATTCTCATTCACCCTGATTGTGATCTTATTAACCCCTAGGTGAACCCCTTTCAAGGACCATTCTCATCCGATTGTGCCACTCGAAACCGGAGCTGGAAAGCGCCATCCCTGGTATTAAAGATTGTATTTTTATTTATTACAAAGTTACTAGGCTGTCTGACACTGTCCTTAATTTTGAACTACTGATGATAAAATGCAGCCAATAAGCGCTAAAGGGCTGACTGTCACTGTTATAACGCACACACAGTTTAAAGTGCGGAAATTATTTTGTGGTAGCGCACGGATTAGAAATATCCCACTATTATGTGTATTTGTGTATATATATAAATATATATAACAAAATTTAATATATTTGAGAAGCACTGCCCTCGATAACAGCTGGGTAAACTGATATAGGTCTCACTCAAGAAACATGACGAGGGCTAGCCTTTACCTCGCAATCATCCGATTATGAGTCCAAAACTCAAAGCTGCTGAGCAACATTGACCCTTAAACCCTTATTAAAACTATACATACATAAGATATACGCATATTGAATGGGATCATTGTAAAATTGCTTTCTCAAACTAATAAAAATTATTTAAAACACTGACAATGATATTTCACGAAATCTCATAATCACTGAAAGAATTTAACTCTATTAAACACTACAAATGTTATTAGCATAACATTTACTAATACTTGGACATGTGAAAAAAAAATATTACACATATTTACTTAAAAGTTTGTTTGTTTTGAAGTTAAGCACAAAGCTACACCATGGGCTATGTGTGTTTTGCCCACTACGGGTATCGTAACCCAGTTTCTAGCGTTGTTTGTTTGTAGTTAAGCACAAAGTTACACAATGAGCTATCTGTGCTGTGCCCATCACGGGTATCGAAACCCGGTTTCTAGCATTGTAAATCCACAAACACTCCGCTGCGCCACGATGAGAATATTAATATAATTAGTGATATATCCTAGTAGTTCATAGAACCAAGTTAAAAATGCATTGCGAAAAGTTTATTTTATACATTTATTAATTATATTGAAGAGTTTTGTGAACTTCAATAAAACAACAAAAAAGCAACATCACTAAGCACAAATAAATATATTGAAAATCAAACTATACGTTGTTTTTGATTAATTTTATATATATTTATTTCTGTTTTAAAATGATGCCTTTTGTTCTATGTTGTATTTTTTTCTTCTTTCAGTGGCTCAGCGGTAAGTGTGAAGGCTTATAACGCTAAAACTGGCTTTCGATACGGCACAGATAGCTTATTGTGTAACTTTGCGCTTAGCATCAACTAAACAATTTATGTTTTTAGTATTTATTTGTTATCATTAGCGCATAATTTGGGTTGAATCCCAAACATTCGCTGTATGACCTTTTAAGCCTATCGTTGAGCCACCAGGACCCTAGTAAATGGAATACACAGTTCTATAAAATAAATAACAACAAGGTTAGTTAAGTAGCAACATTATATTTTGGTTGAAGCAAAATTTTAAGTAATACTTTGCACATGTCACTTCATTCCTTCAAAGTAAATCTATAGCAACTCCGAAGAGATCTCTGTAAACTTTATTTAGAATACCGATAGAGATTTTCAAATAAAAAATGACTTTCTTATAAAAATTTGAGAACAACCAAGATGACAGAAGGATACTTAGCCCAAATTAATTTAAACGTTAAACACACATTATGTCGCCAGGCAACCAGTTTCACAGTTTAAAAGCTCTAACAGAAAAATTAATGTGCCTAAGAAGAAAATTCGGATCTATGTTTTCACTGACTTTTAATACTACCATTTTTCAATCTAATAAAACTAATCACCCTAGAAAATATTTCCAAGGAGGTAGCTTACTCAAACCTTCTAACAATTTTGAAAATCTGTATTGTGTCTCTTTTCATTCTACGCCGCAGCAGCAAACGAGCAACTAAATCATTTTCGTTTACTTTTTGTTTTCTTTTAGTCTATAAAATTCTCAACTTATACAACCAGACTAGTTGAAATAATATATTATTCACGTGTTCTATTCTAGTTTAAACTAATAACAATGTTATGTTTCTGAACAGGAACATTTTCTTCGTTACTAGTCTACAAACTAAGCTGTTCCAAAAAATTACGAACCAAAAATTTTAAATTATGATTGTTTTTCAACCAGATTAGAAACAGAGCGGGAATTAAGAGTATATTTTCGGAACGCTACTTATTCACATAATATAATTACTGAGTAAAGTCTAGTGACAATATACCGCTGCAGATTACAACTTGTAACACATGATTGTTTTCAAATTTAATGTAGTCAGAGTAAGGGTCTAACTAAATCAACGTATCTGAAAGAGTAAGGTTTGGCAAAAATATATGCTTGATATAGAAAATTTCTCCATCTCCCAGCATTGGCATTGGTATATTCTCTGAATCTACAGGACATATTTCTCATTTGACGACGTTATGAAGGATTATGTCCTATTTCTCCCTGACATCATCAGGTGAGTTAAGACATTGATATATATATATATACAGCTTCCAAAGATATCCGAGAAATAGTTTATAAGATTCACAGAAGAACTTGTTGCTGGCCATCCCATGATCTCCATGATTTCTTTTTGGATTCAAGGATTGGAACATATTACACTGTGACTTTTGTTTAACTTGAAGAAATCTGATATCATTATACATTCTGTTGCTGTCTTCGCCTCACATAGATCTGATTTCTCCCTGCACTAGTAGACAGAAGACATATAACATATATTTAAAGCCGGCCAGTTAGTTGTTAAAAAGAAAAACTGTTACTATTATGTATAAAGGTTTTGTTATTTTTTTTTCAATCTGTTGTTCATTGCAGGTACATATGTCGGAAATCAGTATACCTGAATACCACAAAATTAAGTTATTCGTTTGTCTTCAAATATATTAAGTTACAATTTCATTCTTTATTACATTCATTTATGTGTAATATTTCAAAGTGGCACTTTACTCTCATTAATATACTATAAACATTTTCATACTTTCATTTTGTATGTTTTAACTTGGTTTGAGCACAAAGTTACACAATGAGCTATCTCCAGTGTCTTCTAGATGGGGATCAAACATCGAATTTTAACATTATAGTTCTGAAACTTATCGTTGAGCCAGCGGTAGACTACATATTTTATAGCAAATTGGTTAGTTAATCTGCTTAAAGATGTCAAACTCATGTAAGCAACGTTTTATACAAATACAGTATAAGCAAACCATATAGGTTTCCTACTTTTGGCCCCTCCAATGGCACAGCGGTATGTCTGCGGACTCACAACGCTAGAAACAGGGTTTCGATACCCGTCGTGGGCAGAGCACAGATAGCCCATGATGTAGCTTTGTGCTTAACTTCAAACAAACAAACAAAACAAATTCCTACTTTTGCATGATTAGCTGACCTGC